AGGAAAGCAAAATCAGGAAGAGTCTTGAAAATCCCTTTTTCCTTTAAAATGTTTTTTTTTTTTCTTTTACTAACCCCAATTTCTAAAGACTACGCTAGATTTAATTAAGTTAGAGTGAAATCTTGTCTACTTTGTAATTAAATTACGTTAAATCTTAAAAAAAAATATATTTTTTATTTATAAAATTTAAATTAAAAATTTTATTTAATAAAAATTAAATTTTTTAGCTCAAACTGATATGCAACATGTTGTTGATTAAATTTTAACCTTTTTAAAAGAGAAATGTTATTGAGACAATCATTTTATTTTATTTTTTTTAATAATCTGACATGTTATTAAAATGATTGGTCCTTTTAATTCATGTGAGACCTGTGATATTAAATACATCCATTTATTTAATGACATATAAAAGTTATATAAAAAGATGAGATAAAAAGATTTTCTCAATAGCACCAACTTTTTTAAAATCATGCATTTAATTGAAGAAGCATAGATATTGATGAACAGATTTATTTATTTTTTATTTTGAGAAAAGAAATTTTAGTAAATTAAGATGAAGCAGCATCTTTAAACAGTAAAGAAAATAATGGTATGTTTGGTTTAACTTGTGAGAGTTTTTACTTTTTTTAGTACTGTTTAGAAGTAATAAGTTTAAATTTTTATTGGAGGAAAAATTTAAAAGTTGTTTTTAAATATAAGAGATAAGAAAAAATGAGTAAAAAATGAGTTTATAAAAAGTTTAGATTTGAAACTTTTAAGTTTTTATTGTTTGATATCTTTTTAAAATAAAAAAAAATTAAAAATATAAATTTTTATAAAAAAAATTTAAATTTATAAAATATAAATAATATCAATAAGTTTAACTACTTAAAAACTGATCCGAACATGTTCTAAACCATGAGTTGTAGCACATAAAAAAGACCATAAAAAAAATGAGAGGAAGGCGATGAACCCAATGGTATGCTACCCAGTCTGTTATACAATTGCCATATCATGATCAATAGACGAAAATAAGAAGATTAACAGAATTTGACAAAACTGAAACATCAACATTATTCACTTTCATGGAATCTGGTGGCGGACGACTCCAAGAGGAATCAGCTTGTTGCCTTCTCATCATCAGCGAGCCTACTTTGAAGAAGCAACAAATCTCTGCTAGCTCGGCCATAAGGGATGATTAATATTGCCGAAACATTCCATTAATAGACGAGCAGGAATTTGTTTGGGATTAAATATAACTTGCTCAAAATATTTCCCATTTCTTGCCTTTCCCCATACAATCATTGCCCATTGCGCTACCAAATAAGGAATACCTTGTACAAGTAGATCGGATGGAGATGGAATAAGTCCAGACTCACAGACCAAATACAATGACTTGAATCAAATAATACACTGAATTTCACAATGGAAGTAATTTTGCTTACACAAAAGAAAACTGGCGTTTACAATATGAATATTGTGTCAGTACTTGCAATTGTACTTTTGATTCTCAAAAACTATCGAGGATATGGTTCTGTGATTGAAACATCATTTTTTGTCAGGGGGAGTGATTCCTCCTTTAAGTTCTTCGATCGTGATACCCATGAATTATGCACGCTTGAGGATGATATGTCTGACTCTATGATGCTGTGCATAAAAAAAGCAGGCTGTGAGGGCACTGGAAGAGTGGTTGAGTTGCTATTAAGCATGAGAACAACGGTAGCCATGGTTGGTCGATCAACAACATTTTCTTGAACACATAGCAACCCTATATGGATGCATCTCATCATTTCAGCCCTTGAACCATTCCTCAAAGTTGGATCTATGAGACTTATTCCTGTCCTTTCTCTCCAATTTTTCCATGCCTGCAAAAAGTTGCAAGTGCAAACATGAATACAACATTAAAAGAAGATCTTGCTAACCAAAATTTGAACTCTTATTTGTGATAAAAGGGAAACATAAGTTTAAATATTCATACTTACATAGCTTACTAGGTCCTCTACATTCTCCCCATTACGAAAACAACTATTTTTTTGACCGCTTATAATTTCCAATACTAACACACCAAAACTATAAACATCTGACTTTACTGAGAATTGTCCATGCATTGCATACTCTGGAGCCATGTATCCACTGCACGCATGTATATAAATGTCAATGGGATCATTTTCAATGGTAAAGAATGAGGACGACTTAAAAATCAAGATCTAGTGTTGTCTTAATGCAATTCATAATAAAGTCATTCTTGGCACTTTCATGTTCTAGAATTTGTGTATAAAAATGCAATTCAAAGTTTTATTGTTTCTATGGATACTTACTAAGTTCCCACAATTCTACTGGTATTGCCTTGTGTTTCGTCTCTTACAAATAACCTTGCCATGCCAAAATCTGCAATTTTAGAGTTCATATCTTCATCTAACAAAATATTACTTGCTTTTAAATCACGATGAATAATGCGAAGACGTGAATCTTCATGAAGATAAAGGAGGCCACGAGCAATGCCTCCAATGATTTTGTTACGCTTCTCCCAATCTAATTGTTCACGTCTGATTGGATCTACAGGTTCATAGTTCATGTAAGTATGTGATTAACAAAACAAAAAAAGGACCAATCAGTAGGATATATACCAATTCATGGTTTTGTAGATAACAAGGACATAATGGGGCAACTTAACTCCTTGAAACCAAGCAAACTCATATTTCTCTATTTATTTATTAATTTATGAAGAGAATTGAAATCTAAATGTGGACCAAAATTGAAAAGGGTGCATACCGAATATGAAATGATCAAGGCTGGTGTTTGGTAAAAATTCATAGATGAGAAGCCTTTCATCTCCTTCCAAGCAGAAACCAAGGAGTCTCACCAAATTACGATGTTGAAGCTTGGCCACTAAGAGGACCTCATTTTTAAATTCTATATCTCCTTGTCCAGAACCACTAGATAACCTTTTTACAGCTACATCTTGTCCATCTGGAAGCCGACCCTATCTAAAGATATATTAAAGCAAAACCGAAAAAGCCTCTTTCTATTCACACTGTGTGTTCACACTTATTCACACTTAAAAACTATATAACTTTTACTTTTGAACCCTTGAACTGGATTAAAACTGGATTGAAACCAGCTCAAATACTCCTTTTCACACTATATATCAAATTTAAAAATAGAAGTAAAATTATTACTATACTCTTAATAATTAATGTCATAATTTTTTAATATAATAATAATACCCATTATATTAT